GGCGGCCGGAGCCCGCCCGCCCTTGGCGGCTGCCAGTGGCCCCGGGCGGTGTCACTCAGCCGGGTGCCTGCCCGGGGAGGGAGCTGCGGGGGTGAGTCACAGGCAGGAAACCGATTGCATCAGGAACGGGGCTGTTTTTCCAGCCGGGGCTCCCAAAAAACCCCGCTCCGGCCTCCCTGCCTCCATCCCTCCATCCTCTCTCCCTCCCCAGCGCCATGGAGAAGAGAGCCAGCCCCTCGGCCAGCAGCTCGGTGGCCTTGGCCTCGTCCTCCACGGCCACCTTCAAGGAAGAATTGCTGTGCCCCATCTGCTACGAGCCTTTCCGGGAAGCCGTGACGCTTTGCTGCGGCCACAACTTCTGCAAGAGCTGCGTGAGCCGTTCTTGGGAGCACCGGCATCACGTCTGTCCCGTCTGCAAAGAGGCCTCCTCGTTCGACGACCTCCACATCAACCACACGCTCAACAACCTGGTGGAGATGATCCTCAAGGAGGAAGGACAGCGGCGGGGCCGGGCGGCCACCCTCTGTCCCCTGCATCACGAAGAAGCCAAACTCTTCTGCCTGGAGGATAAGGAGCTGGCGTGCTTCGCCTGCCAAAGCTCCAAGCAGCACGAAGGGCACAAGATGCGGCCGGTGCAGGAGACGGCAGTGGATTTCAGGGTGAGGGATGCTCCAGGAAGAGCCAGGGTGGGGGGGACGACAACACACCGATGGCACGGAGAGGCATCTGGAGGGGTGCAGCCCACGCACGCCCTGGCACAAACTTGCCAGCTCAGGGCTTTGGCTCGTGCACGGCGTGGTTGTACCCACCGGCGTGCCGGGATGAAAGATGAAGCAGCCACGCTGCGAGGGTGGGTCCCCACGGGAGTGCCCCTGCCGCAGCGCTGCCCCACGCTCTCCCTGCCTAATAATCACCCGGTGCCACCCCGTCCCCCAGGGCACGGCCGTTTGCCCTGCACTAAAGGGGACCGGGGTGATCCTCCGAGGGGTTTGGCCCGGTCCCCTGCGTTTCCTCGGCTCATTCATCCTCGGTTGGGCTGGATCCGTCCACGCTGGTTATTGCAACAGCCGGTTATTGCAGCAGCGCTTTGGGGTTCGAGCGTGTTTGGGATGGGGGAAGTTGCACAATTCTCCCAGCCAGGGCGGGACACGGGATGGGGAGAAAGCCCCGAGCCCCGCGGGGCAGGATGAGCTATGGCTGCGCGGGGAGGAGGAAGAGGAGGAGACGGGCTCCGGCCAGGAGCTGGGCATCATGCCAGGACCCGCCGTGTTTCCCAGCCAGGAAAGCAGCCGTTGCCACCCTGACTCAGCCCACAGGAGACGAGCCAGATTTCAAATGGCGCGGGGTGGCCGTGGGTCTGCTGTTTTGCAAGGCTTGGCGGGCTGCCCTCAGTACCCAGCCTCCCTGGGAGGGGAGCAGCGGCTGCTGCGGGACAGGCAGGGACTTGAAGGGCTTAAAAACAGGGCGGGAGGATTCACCATGGAGCAAAGCTCCTCTGCCTCGCTGCTTAGGGGCGGCGTGTTTGCACGGTCCGGCGCGGAGCTGACCCTGTGCAGCGCTGACAGACCTCGGCCGCAGGAGGGGAAAGGGTGGATTGAGCAAGGATTCTGCTTAACCTCGTCCTACTGGGTTTGGGGCTCTTGTCTTTCCGCATTGGAAACCCTGGTTGTAGGCTTGCGAGGGTCCTGAAGGCGTCTCCTCCCCGCAGGCCAAGCTGAAGAACATGGAGACCTCCTTGCGGGAAAAGGCGAAGGATTTTGGGGCCGTGCATCGCTCCTACGAGTCCATCTCCAAACACAACCAGGTGCGTGGTCCCTCCTGGCAGGGAGGCAATGGGCCTGATCCTGACACATGCATGCACACGCCCTGGGCAGGAATGCAGCTGGCGCTGGGGTGAAGCGCTGCACCCATCCTGGGCTGCTCCGTCTCTGAGTGAGGAGAGGGATGCTGGGGAAAGGAAGGACTCGGATGGGGAACTGGGGACCGGGGTGATGGGGCTGTGCCTGCTGTGGCAGCAAGGACATTGATTTGGGGAGGGCAGCGGGGTCCCAGCGAGTCCCAGAGTGCTGGAGCTGGTCGGAGGGCTCTGGAGGAGCGTTTAGGGGGAGGATGGGGGGAGCCCAAGGGGAGTCATGGGCTCTGAAGGGAGGTGGTGACATCCCCACATGGGGCAGGTGGAAGCGGTGCGGCTGGAGGAGCAGATCAGGAGGGAGTTTGAGAAGCTGCACGAGTTCCTGCGGGGCGAGGAGAAGGCGCTGCTGGCCCAGGTGCAGCAGGAGACGCAGCGCAAGCATGGCCTCATCGAGGGCAAGATGAAGCAGCTGGCAGAGGAAAGCCGGGCCCTGCTCAACGAAGCCCGCCAGCTCCAGGCGGACCTCAAGGAGGATGACTACACCTTCCTCATGGTAAAGCCCTGCCGGGTGCTGTCCCATGCCCTGCGGGGTGTCACCCTCCCCGTGGCACCCTCCTGCTTCTGTCGGGGTGCGAGCAGGGTGCTGGGTGATCCTTTGGGTGTTTGCAAGCCCCCGTGATTCCTTAAAAACGGAGTCTGAACCCTGGTGTCTCCTTCTCTTTCAGACCCACAAGAACCGCAAGCGCAGGTAAGTCCCGGTCCCCACCACGTCCTCTGCCCAGTGACGCAGGGTGCTCGGGGCGGCTGAGCACACCCTGAATCCCCTCCCTGGGGCATAACGGGGTCTCCTGCCTGGCTGCAGAGTGAGGTGTCTGCCTCAAGCAAGTTCCCGTACCCACGTGTCCCCTCTGGGTCTGGGTGCTCCGGCAGAAGAAGGTGCTGGGGGTCCCCAAGGCCAGGCAGCTTATGGGGTGGCACACGTGCAGAAACAAAGCAGCATTGCAAGTCTTGGAGGAAGTATTAAAACCCTGATATTGGGGGGATTTGGTGCTGGGATCTTCCTGGGGTGATTCACCACCCTCCTGGAGTGAGAGGAAGGAAGGTTTGGGAGGTGTGGGATGCTGGTGAAGAAGCCCCTGCCAAAACACTGGGTAGGTGCCAGGAAACCCAGCTCGGTCCCTTCCTCCATCCCTGACCCATCTCCATCCTCTGCCCTTGCCCCAGGATCGCCTGCACGGCTGAGGAGCCGGAGGCCGTGCCTTCGGGGATGGTCCTCGATGTCGCCAAGTACCTGGGCTCGCTGCAGTACAACGTGTGGAAGAAGATGCTGGACATCATCACCGCAGGTGAGGTGCTGAGTCCCCCCCAAAGGGTGGTTGTCCCAGGGCTAAAGCAGCCTTTGCGTGGGGCAGCCCCGGGGGTGGTGGGTGCTGGAGAGAAGAGGAGCACGGAGCAGCCATGCCCACAGCTGGTGGGCCTGGGGAAAGGGATTGGAGAGCATAAAGGATGCTCTGGAGCATTCGCACCCCGAAAATGAAGCCCTTGAGGGTGCATTTCTCCATGGTGAGCTGCATTGTCCCCAGAAAGGAAGGGATGGATAGATGCAGGGCTCCAGTCCATCTATAAGCTCATCCCTGCGGCAATCTGGGCTCCTAACATGCATGTCCCCACCACAGTCCCCTTCAGCTTTGACCCCAACTCCGCGGCGGGCTGGCTCTCCGTGTCTGAGGACCTCACCAGCGTCACCAACGGGGGCTACAAGCTGCTGGTGGAGAATCCCGAGCGCTTCACCTCGGCCCCCTGCATCCTGGGCTCCTGCGGTTTCTCCACCGGCTTCCACACCTGGGAGGTGGACCTGGGCGGCATCACGAACTGGCGGGTGGGGGTGGCCCGGCCGCGCAGTGGCATCCACTGGACCTTCCACCACGATGCTCGCTCTGGCTTCTGGTACATCTACCGCCTGCCCGGGAAGGATGGCGAGACATGCCGAGCATCCAACACGGCGCGTTCGGAGGCGGCGCTGGGCGACCTGAGACGGATCCGGGTGGAGCTGGACTGCGACGAAGGGGAGCTCTCCTTCTACGACGCCAACCGCAAGACCCACATCTACACCTTCCACGAGAAATTCGGAGGCACTGTCTACCCCTACTTCTACGTGGGGGGTACGCCGGTGGGTGCGCTGCCTGAGGCGCTCCGCATCTGTCCCCTCCGTGTCCGTGTCCACGAGGATGTCCCTGTCTAGTGGCCACCATCTCCTGCCTGCATTTGGGGTTCTCCAGATGCCTTTTCAGCTTTCCTTAGGAAAAAAAAAATAAGGGGAAAAAGAATTTGTTATGTACTGTCTCTTTTTTTTTAATCATCAATAAACACTCAGCTCTTCTAGTATGGCTCTGCACTGCTCTGTGCCCAAATCTCCCTGGCTCCTTTCCTGCCCCTCTCCATCATGAAGGAAAGCTGGGGAGGCTTTGGGGAGAAGGTATCTTCTTGCCAGGGGGCTGTAAATAGTAAATTAAACCATCCAGGGGCTTTCCAAGCTTGTACAAGTGCTGCAGCTTGCAGGGCTCTGAGTCTCCCTGGAGTAGGTAAAAGTAGGGGACGGTGGCCTTTGCCCATACACCTTGGGGACAGAAAATCGCACATGGCTTGGCTGGACACAGGCAGAAGCGTGTGTTTCCCCTCTACAAGAAAAACCAGCAACGGGGACATCCTTGAGAGTGACAATCCATCTCCTCTTACCCATCTCCCCATGACTTTACCCCTCTGAGGGGCTTTTCTGTAAATCCCCAGCTCCGGGAGTCAGGTGATGATGTGCTGTTGGTGTTTGGAGGTGGAGGAGGTTCAGGGGTGGGATTAGGGGAGGTTGGGGGGACAAAACCCACCCTCTGCAACCCTGTACTGGGTCTGGCCCAATATTAATTGTACCAAAAAGGCTTTTTCCTCCACCCTGGTGAGCCCTTGGGGTTTAAAGGTGATGCCCTGGGGAAAGGGAGGGTGCCTGGTGGGCCATGCTGCCCTCGCTGCCTGGCGCAGCCCGGCCAGGACCTCGCTGGCAGGATGCTGATATTAACGGGTGGTTTCCATGGTTTCTCACCATTTGCATAGGATGCTCCTTAGGAACGAGAGCTGGCGGTGGAAAAACAAAAGGGAGATATTGGAGGCGTGCGGTGCGGGGGCGACCCTGGGGGTCCTCCACCTTCCTTACGTCGGCTGACGTTATCTATTTCCAACTGAGCAGCCCTGGATACGGGGAAAGGAGGAAAATCAGTGTGAGCATCCCATCTCCCTCCCCGCACTGCACCCTGATGCTGCGCATCACCCCCCAAAAAGCTGGCGCTGCCTAGAAATTTGGGCATCCAGTGCCCGATTTGGGCAGAAGCGAGGTGTTATTTGGGAGCAATAAAAAGGTGGTGAAGCTCTTTGAGTTGCCGGGGCTGGAGCAGGATGAGGTGTTTGTCTTTGTCAGGTCCAAAGGGAGCATTTTCCTCCCGTGGCTGCGAGTGCCAGCGCAGGTGTCTGGCGTAAAAATGGCAATAAAGAGTGAAATGAGGCATCGCTTTGGATGGCGAAACTGAAACATTTTTACTTTTTTTCAAATCATTTGGTGGAAAATTGGTTGGCAAGCAACAATATGAATTAATGAACTGGTTGGCTCCCTAAGACTCTGTGATTTTTAGTGTAATCAACGGTACCTGCATCTTCCCCTGAGCTTAATTTCATTCCCACAGAGGCAGAGAAACGGCTTTAAGTGAAAACTTAAAGCTTGCGGCAACGGGTGACGTCTCCCCAGGACTGAGCGTTTGCTCGCACATCCGAGCAAACAAAACGATCCGCCAAAACGTTGGCGGACAAATGTGGGGAAAGCTCCGGTAAGGGGCAGGCGGGTTTTGCGTGGGACCTTCCTCTGTGGCCATCGCATCCTTCCCCGACGCCTGAGATCCCGCCTGGGACACACCGGTTACTTGCAGGACCCTCTCCGAGCTCAGACCTTCCTCCTTGCGGCAATTAGAAGGATCTATTATTATTATTAATTATTCTTACTATTATTTTAGCATCCTTTTTGGCTCTCACGCCGAGGAAGGGAGCGATGACCCCCCCTCCAGCCTGCGGGGAGCCCGGGATCCCCATCCCCATCCATCCCTGCGCCGCTCCCCTGCCAGGGGCGGGTGGGCACGGCTGCTTCACGGGTGGGCGTGGGGTGCGAGTGGGGCTCTCCCGGGCTTGGGTGGGGAAGGCGG